GTCGACCATCAGTCGGCCAATGTTTGTGTTTTTTACTTGTATCGGCATCAGCCGATACTTGCGTGTGTTCGAAGATAAACAATCTTAAGATTGTTTGTTTTTATTGTTATATATTTAAACTATATTTATTGTTGATGTGTTTTGTTAATAAATGCTGCGTTTTTATTTAAACTGAGACTTGTGTAACATTTGTGTCCTTTTTATCATGTAAATGGAGGACATATCAGTGATGGATTAAGACAAAATAATCAGTGTTGGCCTTAAAAAATCCTGTATCGTTCGACCTCTAAGACATACAGCAACACTTATTTATCAAGCTTATCAATCAATTTGTTCATTTCTCTGTTTTTTAGCAAAATATCTCATAAACCACTGGACAGATTTGAAAGAAAATCTCAAAGTAATCACTACATGTACACCTACAACCAATTAAAGGTAGTTTCTCACTGGGCTGTGACTTTTGGCAAACTCTTGAAACACTGTGAGACTAATGTAAAAATGTGCCTGTTTGTTTTTCTTCGCAATTTTTAGTTTTAGCAGCAGCCACAGTCAAGTACCATCCAAAATTTTAGAATCAGCCTTATTCAAGATGGCCGCCAAAAGTAACTGAACATAGCAAACACAAAAACGGCTTTAACTCAAGTCAATTTGACAAATATTGTGCCCCCCACCCACCCATACATAATCTGAGAACTAACAGCGCAATAACTTTGTTTAATGGCTGATAGAGTAGCACCTCTTCAAGGAATGATACTCTTTAATTGTTGCAAACTTTCATTTTCTTTCCACCTGAAAAAGAAATCATGACAAATGGAATCCTTCATTCTCTTTCCCAATAATCAGGGGTATTTTTTACAAGCTTTTATTTCACTGAATCAGTGCTTGATTACTGTAATGGCCCTTTCATCGGTCTCATTCAGAAAATGAGAGGATAGCTCAATGTGTTGCTAACAAGGGTGTTTTTTGGACAAAAACAGAAAGACTCACTGTATGCCTCAAAACTTAAAAATAAAATGCATGGCTAAAAATGATTCATTACACACATTTGATCTGAAAGTCCTCAACATGAACCTTGTGCTTTGTTTCTGCCAGTGACTCTTCTTCCAACTGTGATTATTTCAAGAGCTAAAGATGGAATAAGAAATGCTGCAGTACAGAGGGGAAAAAATATGCTCATGAGAAAAAGTGGGCCGGCAACAAAACGAGCCTTGAAATGTGGCTGGGGGGAAATATATTCTTCTGAGATGGATCTGGAGGATTGAAGAAAAAAAAACTGGGGCGGTGTTATCTAGTCATGCCTTGAGATCAATGTGGTCAGGGATCAAAGCCCGGCAAAATGGCATGAAGAAACTAATCCCAAGCACAGTAAGATACAGAATTAATGAAAGGCGGGGCGTGTCAGGAAATGTAAAGTTCATATAACCTCGATACCCAAAGTAAAAAAGTTTCAAACAGAAACTTCTGTGTGGGGGTTGGCTCAGAAAACTGTGCCACATCTCTGCCTCCTTATAGTGTCAACAAAYCAATGGCAATAAAAAAGCGTATGAAACCCTTTGACCTCACCCAGGCAGAGTTGGACTGGTTGAGCTGGTTGAGCATGACCACTGCTGTGCAGCCGTAGTCAAAAACCAGCCTCCAGAAATCAGCCGTGGTGCCCGGCAAAGGGTGAGGGGTCACGATGAAGGCGGCCTGCCGGTGGAAGCTGTCAGCGAGCGCCGCGTTGATGTAATTGTTGCTTTCCCCTTCGGTGGTGACCAGGAAGGCCAGGGCGCGGTCAGGCGGCAGGACGTCCATGCTGCGGTTTTTCTCCCGGTTTCTGGGCAGCAGAGCGATGCTGCACTCCTCCACGTCCAGGTGGGGAGTCACCGAGTTAAGAGTCTGCAAATGGAAATGTTAAACGGGTAAAGCCGAGGATCAAATGAAATTCATGAGCGAAATGAAACATGGGAGACATGACGGGAATGGCAGATGATGAGACAAGAAAAGGAGACGGAGAGTAGAAAACTCAATAACGTTAAAGAGATCTTTGTGGTGATTATACATGTTTGGGTTGTAACAATACATCGAGCCATATTGATATGATTAATGATTTAATTACATCAAAGCAAAATGAAAACAGAGATCCATAATGTCATCATACGCCCCGATGTGGATCAATATCAAATCAATTAAAGATTTGTGAATTGAATCAAAATCATCTCATGACTGACTGTTATATTGATAAACATCGTATCGTCATCCAAACACGTCAATATTATATCATATAATAATATATAAAGCTGCTGATTTACACATTACATAGCTGTCAAGTCTCCCGTTTTACCCCTCTTTCCCTACCCCCGTATTAGTATTCTCCAGTAAATCTCCTGTATAATAATAATAATAATAATAATAATAATACTGAGCTCAATACCGCTAAATAAAACATTTTATTTAGCGGTTATTTTACATCCTACAGGCTCTGAATGTAAAATACATGTGAAGCTGAGTTATTGAAAAACTCTGACCACTAATTTACATTACTTGCGTTCCGTCTCCGCTCCGGTCCGACCTCCGCAGCAAATATGCACCCATTATAATCAATGAGAGTGTTTCCACTGGCAGCGCACGGCAGCGGTAAGCGGACAGCGATCCAGCAAAATTAGAACAGATCTTATTTTTGCAGGATGCCAGAGCGGAGCCGGAGTCAATTTTTAAAGATTACATCGCACCAACAGGAATTATTTTTTGCTGTGACTTCCACACTTATCACTGAATTTATCGCGCAATCTCCTTCCTGCACGTCTGTCGGACCGGAGCGGAGCAGAGGTAGTGTAAACTGGACTTGAAACGCCCAGCTGCAACCTGCGCACCGCAGCGCAGCGGAGCCGTAACGCATGTAATGTAAATTAGGGGTGAGATTTTTCTATACGTCTGTGCACCTGCAAATCCATACAAGTTGACATCTATCCACTTTAGTCTTAGCCTCACTCAGATTAGCTGTTAGTTCAATAATCTGGTCAGAAYTATTCTCTACTTCGCCAAACAGAAGTTCAAGGAGCTATCTGCAACAGGTAAGACATTAAATGTTCATGAGCTTTTCACAAAACTATTTAAATAAATCACTTTATCTTAAAGGTAATGCTGTGAGAAACTGGTTTTGTAGAATGATTAAATAGTTAAACTAAATTAATTATAAAAAAATGAAAGTGACAAAGTTTAACGGAGCAAAAACCCTAAAAGGAAAATGCTGCAAAATCCGCTGTTGTTTTATTGCCATAATTACTTTAGACAAAGTGGAAAAACATTTGGATCATTAATACACTACATCAATAATAGATCTATGACTTGCTGATCTCTGTACTACTGATTAGAGTCTAAAAAGGAAAAAAAAAAAAGAAGAAAAATAGCTCATTGGGTGGTGAAGAGGCTTTTAAAGTCAAAGCCAGACACGAGTTCCCACGATCAAAGAGAGAAATGGAACATTTTTCTTTCTGAAGAGGGAACAGTTTGTAACCTGAGTGCTGCACCACCTACAGTGCCAGTCCTCAATCATAAACAACCCATCCATGAGAGCTCCTCCTCAAYGTATACTGCATGAGGATGAAGCACAATTAAAGAAAGAGCATAATCCTTTCTCTGTATCACTTTGAAATGCTAAACACAAAATCAGTGCAGCTGATGTTTTGAGCATCAGATGAAGCAGATAAAGCATGTGGGAACACAGCTGGCTCTCCAAATCAACATCTGATAATAAAAAAAAACGTTCTCTGAGTGCGTTCCTTCAAACCGAGGGAGGATTTTAATGTCACCCACACAGAAAGAGAACTGAAACTAATCTTGACAAACAAAGATGAGGTACAGCCCTTCAAAAAAACAAAAGCAGTAAGTCATTTAGCTCATCTGAGTAAAAAATCTGTGTAAACAGCAGATCACCTGAAACTCCTCACGCAGCTGAGAGGAGTTACTCTGAGAATCCACYCGCAGCATCTCCTTGTAGGTTACCGCAAACTCATTCACCAGGATGGCTGTTTCTCCACACAGACAGGCCTCCAGAATGGCATCGTGGATGAAAATATACTGCTCCTGGAAAAGACAAGAGCTGAGATAAATAACTTATTGGGTCTTTCCTGCTGGATTCACTTTCAGGCAACACATAGGATGCAAACAGAATTACAGGAGGAGGATATGAAAGCAGCAGCAGCTTAGAAACATTAATACGTCTAAATGAACTTTCAAACAATACAAACAATGCAGGAGTTTTTTTTATTAACTTTTACTGTTTGTAATGTTTGAAGACTGATAGAAAGTAATTAATATTTCTATTTATAAACATGCAAAATTCACTATGTAAGGCTTGGGAGGTATGACAATATTTTGGTTAGGGGTGTAAGAAAATGTTGATACACTGAAATTTCGCGATATTTCATTTCCCGATACTGTATCGATATTCTAAAGCYCTGTATCGATTTTTTTATTAAGGTTTAAAATGTCAACTTTCYTGCCARCYGTTCATTTTTATGTTGTAGTTCAGCCTCTGACCACTAGTTGGCAGCAGTGAGCCAGCCATTTGGCTCCTCTACCTCTTGAGGTAGAGGCTATTGTTAAGTGTTGGGTGACCATATTGTAAATTAATATTAAAAACTTGCTTTTAGTTTTTAGAAAAAATATATATTTTCTAACTATTTATTGTCAAATTTAGTCTAATAATTGAAAACATGGATGAAATAAGAAATATGAAACAAAATAAAATACATACAAAGCAGAACACAGCTAAATGTATCAAAAGCATGTCTCTGTAATATTAGAATTTTCTGAGACAATGAATTTTGGTTTTTCATTTTTTCCCCGTAAGAGGTTTTTATTTAATAGAATTTTTGGACAAAAAAAATCGCAATATATCGCAGTATATCGCCTTGCTTATAGTATCGCAATATATCGGGATATATCRTATCGTGACCCCTCTGTCATGATATGTATTGTATCACCAAATTCTTGYCAATACACAGCCCTAATTTTGGTATACCGCAGTATTCAAATATGGTGACAGTATTTAAAAATGATGACATTATTAGTCTCGTATGTCAGGGTAATTTTATCTCACTGTAAATACAGAAGGCCTCAACAGCATCATGAAGACCAAGGAATGCACCAGACATACTTGGTACTGTATGAGGCAGAGATGTGCACAAGTCTTTTTTTGCAAGTCCAAGTCAAGCCTCAAGTCTCTTGACCTCAAGTTCAAGTCTCGTTGCAGTTTGATCAAAAGTATTCTAACTATACTAGATTATATTCTACATTACTATATTTTAATCAAATATTAAAACATGGTATTATGTTTTAGTTATACTATTAAAACATCATACTGTTTTAAAATTACAGATAAGGTTAAGGTTAAAATAACAACAATCTATTAGTATTGTTAACTGTATTTTACACTTGCATTTTATTTATTTATTTTCATTTAGAAATGTATTCATTTCATTTAAAACAATTATATACACAACAGAAAACAAAAGCATTGATGTGTAGGAGTAACCCTGGTGAAATATTCATTTCTATTTTTGTCTTTGATTTTATTTTTTACACTTATAAGAAGAAAATCATTTTAAAGTTTGTTTTTATTTTCTTTAAGTGAATACAACAATATATATATATATTGTTTCATTTAATCTTTCAATAGAGGTTATGATCAATATATCATTACTCAAAGTTTTATTGAATTAATCTTTGCATCTCTCTTTATTCCAGAAGATTAACACTGTGAAGAAAAAAAGAGTTGAAATGTGCTTTAATGTTTTTTCTTAGTACTGGGTTATTAATCATTGTTTATTATCATTTTTAATTGATTTAATGATTAATTAATTTCACTATTAATCCAGTGATGCAAAGGTTTGACTTATAAGCTTAGGTGAAGTGATTTTTAAGACAGCATGTTAAGTCTGCCTTTTGCAGCTTCAAGGTCTTTGCTGATAAGAACTTGCAGCTGGCCGAACCAGTGTGAGAAAGTCACATTGTTTATTTTCTCACCTTTTCCTCTCAAGAAACTAATTTTTCTGTTCAGCACAGTTAACACTAGTCAGTTGTTCTTTGTCTGTTGGGCTGAGCGGATGGTTCTGTGTGAGTCTCTGAGGAGTGAATGTCCTGCTGGACACCTGCGTGGATGTTACTAAAATGCCGAGAAGCACTGGACTGACTGATATCAGCACCTGAAGCCTGGAGGCTTCTTAGGGGTGAGACGAGGAGTCTTCTCAACCCCCTTGTTGTCATGACGGACGTTATCCATTTGGCGGACTGGGATGCCGACACTCTAAAAACCGTCTACCTGCCTGCAGTCTCTGCTGTGAAGACGTCAAAAGGTAGACAATTGTTTACTGAGATAAAAGTTGAAGGAAGTCTAGCCCCCGGAGATGTCTGGTCTGACATGCTGTGTTGCTGGTCTGGTCTGATTTATAAAGAACAGTGCCAAATTCACTAATCTTCTTTTCCTCCTATTTCTTAAAGCTTAAATCTTTTGTTATCTTTATTCTTTATTTACTTAGACTTAATTAAGCAACGTGCCAGTAAATTACAACACCTGGAATTTACTGTTTGTGTCAACACTGAGGTGAATTTTTGTTGAAAATATAACTTGTGCTCATTTATTCATATAATAATTTTAATTGTGTACTGAGAGAGTGAGCATGGTGAGCAGTGAAAAGACTTGCATCGTTCACGATGTCTCAAACCACGAGTCCAAGTCAAGTCTAAGTCTCTAAAAGTAGGGACTTAAATGCGACTCAAGTCTAAGTCCGAGTCACAAGTCTCCATCTCTGGTATGAGGCATTGTACTCCAAGATATTTTCTGATTGATTTACTGAATTTACATACGCTCTTACAGTTTATACTTTGTCATCAATTGTAATAATTTACTTTAAACAATCAACAAGTCTCTATTTCATCTCTATTTAATTTTGGTGTTCTTTTATAGAATTTACTTCCTTGTTTACTATGATATCATATTCAGGGTACRACATACTGTATATCTGGGGTGTGACCAGTTTTATATAAACATTGTAAGATCACGCCATTTGGGGCCATTTCCCAGAGTTTACAAAGTGCGGGGGGATTCAAAAGATGGACCAGATCTGAGTTATGTGCGGTAAACCCTGTGTGTCCTATAAGCCCTATAGCAAGTCAACCAGTGTAATGATGGAACGTTTGAGGAAAAGATGAAAATGTTTGTGTAAAATGTGTGACATGACTTGGTTTGCACATTCGTCCTGACCTCTGTCTGGATCATGTTGATGCGTCGAGAGCAGAGGGTTTTCACACAGTTGTAGATATCCACCACGCCTTCGCACTCAGCCATGTCCAACATGACGTCCAGCACGATGTAGCAGCCGGTGCGCCCTGCCCCCGCACTGCAACACAACGGCAGAGTTCTTAAAAAATGCCAGTTACAGAATTAAGCGCTATTCTGTATCTGTAAAGACAAGCAGCTGAATCAGTCTTTGATTACTGTAGGTATGCTTAAAAACAAGAAACCAATCAAAAGGTACTAAATACTTACAGCAAATTCATTTTTTTTTCTTTTATGCACTTTTTCTGAAGCCCTCAAATCATTCATACATCAGAAGAAACATTTAATTTCTTGTCTCTTCAAGGCCACCCTCCCATAAAGCCTCTAATGTTAATTAACAGGTTTTTTTTTCAATAGGTGACGTCATTTCTTGTTCTCGACTCTAAACAATTAGTTATTTAAATCTTAACAAGTTGAAACCTCWGTCGATTACAGGATTTTGGTTATAAGTAAAAGTATCCAAAGCAGAGTGATTGGGAATATGGGTCTTATTGGATGCTTTTTTATGCAACATAACATCCTAGACAGGCTGGTGAGGTGTTTGCAAGCATTTTCAATGTGTATGGGTGAGAGAGATGTATTAAAAAGTCTGGTTCATCCTCAAAAATGTTTTCTTCTGTTAGAAAGTCACAATATGGTGCCTCCTTGTAAAACTGGGTATTTGCACCATAAATACCCCTAATACTACTCATCTGACTACTTTGTGCTCTAAGGAGAAAATGCTTTTCTCTAAAAAAAAGAAGGGATTTGACTTTGTAGGGGTGCTGTGCCTAAAGCAAATCACCATCTGATGATATTTTTATCCGTTCTTTGGCGGATCCAGGACAGTCCTGCGGYGCGTGTCTTACCGTGAGCCACGAGACACCGAGTGGAGAGTTTGGAGAAGATTTCCAGAAATCAAATTAAACTGAAAAAAATTCCTATTTGCATATTTTCCTCTAAATCGGAGACATAAAAAAATGAGAACTATGGTTGCAAATGGGTAAGAATAATAGATACATAAAAGTTTGTTTGTCTGTTCCCATTTAAAATGGCTTATTACCAATGTTTCCAAGTTTTAGCCATGTGCTTTTTATGAGTGAGAATTTGAACAGTTTAGAGTCTCCAGACACTGTGTTGGCYTCTGCAGTTTTATAATGCATATCAGAAGCTCTGGGAGAACCAAGCAGGGATCAAACAAACCGGTCCGCTCAGCCCTACACTGACCTATGGATGCCATTAACAGAAAGGATGTGATAGGATATTGTCGGCAAAACAGTCGATCCTCATGAACTACACCTCTCAACCCCTAATAAGACTGTGGGGGCTCTCTGCTGCACCCACAATGTATAAAAATGAACACTAACTGTCAGGCCCCGGGGGTTAAAACTAAAATAATTTGTTGTCATTTTGCTTATTTGAATCAGCTCACAGTTTTTTTTAAAGTGTACACCTCATACGGATGCAGTGCATCTTTCATGTCTCTTATTTATAGGATGATTGGCATGTGTGTGTTTGTGCAAGTGCTTGATTGTGAGAATGTTGATGGACTGTAAATAGCCTGTTTGGTCCCATCTTTTTTGGCACATTAGGACGCACACAAAAAAAGAAAATGTTATCTAATACATGCTTACATGATTACACTCGGGCTGTAAGCATGTGTTATACCCACGGTTATTGGTGGTTATAAGAGGTACCAGTATGGGTGACTTCATGTTACCTGCAGTGGACCACCACCGGGCCAGCGTCGGGAGGCGTCGAGGCTTTCACTCTTCGTATAAAAGCCAACAGCCCGGTGGCGTGATAGGGCACCCCGTGCTCGGGCCAAGAGGTGAAATGAAACTGACGGACCTCGTGCTTCGTGGAGTATCCTCTCTGTCGAAAGAAAAACCAAAGGTACAACATGAACTTCTAAAGTGCCTGTGACTTCAAATTTTTATAACAAATATGAATGCATTTTTTGGAAACATTGATAAGATATTGCAAAAAACAACAACAAATAGATAAAAATCACTGCTGAAATGAACTAAAGCATTTGCATGTGAAGTAACAGGAAGTGATGTCAAAGTGATGTCTGTATTTAAACAGAGCATTTCGAAAATGACCAACAAAACGGACTGTAGAGAAGAATCTGATTCTTTTTTAGATCAGAAAGATGAAGAAGAGTCAAAGTTTAAATAATAATGTTTAAATAAACAAAGACCAGGAAGTTCTTAGAGAGTTTCACTTTGATGTCACTTCCTGTTTCACTTTGCCTGAGCAAAATTCAAAGAAAAGTTGCCATTTATGTGACAAAATTATTAAAATCATGTTAAGTTTCTTAAATAAAAAGATGTTTTCTTTGGCTTTTTGTATTTGAAGGATATGCATGTCACAGGCAACTTAAAGTTAATAACTATTTAAAGGGGAAATATCATGTAAAATCAACGTTTTTGAGTTTTATATCCTGTTATACTCTCATAAAAAAACATGCCCAAAGCCTTGCTTTGACTCATTCATGCAC